AGCTTTGCGCGAAATTCAAACCAAACAAACCCAACGTCAGATGACCCGTTTTACCTAAAATCAGTTGACGTTGTACCACTCTTCACCCGGTAATGAAGTGTCCCTTTGAATGGGGAATAGAGTTATGTATAATTATCAAAGAAAGTTTCTGTGTTAGCCTTTAATTTAATGGTCACGGTTAACATAGTAAATAAGGTGACCCCAATCTTTGGTGCCCCAACTCAAATTTGTTTCGCCACCTATCTTTCAACCGCCGCTTTGCGTAATGACTCAGAAATAAACCTGTCGTAGGAGTTGTTAGTATATCAACTTAGAAAATATTAAGACGAAAAATACAAGTTTCTAGTCATGGAATATCGATGTGGATTGATTTAACGTCAAAACCTGTTCTATAAACATTACTGTGAAATATTAAATTACATGCTGAAAGAGAAAGGTCATAACTGTTTCAGTAATATAATCATTTGTTGTAGCACAGTCATATAGAACTGTAAGAAACAAGCCGACAAATTACGATAAACTATATGATATAGAGTAGGAAATTACGCGTAGTGGTTTTGAAAAAGATAAAAAGAAGTATGATTTAAGTCAAACTACTAAGGAGTTAATATATATATATTTAATAATATAATTTTGGATACAAATGTTTCGGGCAATGCCCTTCTTCATGTATAATTAACTGAACTGATACCTGAAGTTAGTGATACCTGAAGAAGGGCATTGCTTGAAACGTTGTATCCACAATTATAGATATTAATATATATATATGTATATATATTAACTCCTTTGTGGTTTGACCAATAACATACTTCTTTATATGATACAGAGGTTGAGTACGTTATTATAAAACAAATTTGACGCCTCACCACGTTGTTAAAGTTCTCGTTACTACCTCCGGTCGTACTCTCTCTGACGACTATGCAACTTCACAATAGCCCTGCAGCTTAGCTTCCCTCCATGGTGAGACTGTCATATTAAAAGTACACCATTCCTCCTTACATTGCTCAAACCATCTAATGTGCGACATGGACATTTTCCAAGTGCTCATTTCAATAGCCCGATTGCAGAGATCGCTGCGTTCAGCAATTTGACTAGTATGTCTACATATGGAATACGATGAATATCCATTTCATTCTCCAGTTGCTTGAGGTATGGCAAAGTTGAACGGATATGTCGTGGAAGCAGCTTGTGTACTCGTGAATTGTATCGCTATTCTTGGTGGAGATACCTTTTTATTATGTTATGACACGTGGACAGCTTTTTCCAATTTTCTGTGTTCGTGGATTCTCACCAGTTACAAGACGTCGCATTTTGCTTACCAAGGCTTGAGTATGACTTGTTGAAGGTCTCTCTCTCTGAATAGACTTGGTATCTAAAGTTGAGCCTTATTCGATTGTTTTCCAATGCCATTAAGGATAAGAGATATCCCCATCTTGGAAATTCTAAATCCTTCATATGAACACGTCTTCATGGTTTAAGTCGGAAAGGGCTGTTACACATACTTCCCAAGAGCGATACATTTTTGGTGGCATTACACTACCTATGAAACGCTAAACAAAAATATAGTTCTTATAAATTTCGTTCTAACATACCTTACATAATTTTTTCATTAGTTCTAAAACTAGCATAAAATATGCTTGTTCTGTTCGGAGTTCAAGGGTTTCCTCGGGATCACAAAGGACCCAGTGTTCCGATGAAGTTCCTCTATTATCCTCAGGTACCTCATAAGATGGATCCGTATCCGAAACAAAACCGGTTAGGACATCCGCCTGTGGTAGGTGAGCCATGTTAGGTCTCGCTAACTTGTGAGTTGGAATATGGATACAGTTTCAAGTAGGCGCCCTCGGTTTCCCAAGGGGGCCAATAACACAAAACCTGATGCCAGATCCGAGTTCATCAACCTTAAAACCTGCCCCCAGACCCATAGTTTAGCATTCCCTTATACGGGGTCTATAATGCCTATAAATACGAATACCCTTGAACCGCCCCGAGTTGTCTAGTGAAAGTGGATTTTCTCGGAGTATTCCTGTTTCCCCCCTCCCACATCAAATTCAAAGGCATTTGGATTTAATGATCCCAGCCATACCATTGGATTTACAGATCCTAGCCACCCCGTGACCCTGATCATGGGAAATTTATTGGATGTACTTGTCGAATGTTCGTCGCCTTGCTTCTTCTCTTCTTATCAACGACGTCATGTCAACGGCCTTGGTCTTTCTCTCTGCCTTGGAACCCGCCGGACATGTTTCTGCTTCTCTTATATTTTCATAAGTCTTTAATATCACTAGACAACGTAGAACCAACCTCTCCAGCAAATACCTAAAAATCCCACGAATGTAACAAACAAAATTATCGCGAGCGGGGGGGGGGCGAAGAGGGATAACTGAACACCCCAGTTGAGGAAAGTTTCTTTTCTTTAAAAACCAAATTCCTGTCACGAAATTTTCGATGTTTCGATTTTCCCCGCCGCGTTCGTCTGCCAAGTTTAGTCCTGCTAGCTCCAAAACTGTGGGAAGAGTTCACAGACAAACAACACACACACACACACACCGTGAATTAATATAGGATTACCTCTGACGTGAAACTGTCTTCCTGTAGCTGCAAAACGTACTTAGTTTTAGTTGTAAAAGTTTACTACTATTTCTATGTATTTTTCGTTTAGTAATGTAATCATTACCACTGACCTAATATATTTGAAAAGATGAAAAACTAAGCAGCTATAGCTAATGGATGTAAACTTTTGGCTTTGATCCTTCAAAAATATATTTTTTAGGGAAATGATCAAAATTGCTACAAAACATCCAATAACCTTATCTAAAACACTTTAATGAAAAACAATAATAGATAAAACCTTAAACGGCTTTCGGAAGATGGACCTTTCTCCTTCAGAGATAAATTGTAAATAAGTACCACTTAGTTGAAAGGCGTTGTTAATAGAATGCATTTGTGAGACAACAAAAACAAAATCTTGGACTGAAGAGGAAACGTGAAAGTGGCGAAACTTGTATCCAAATAAATTTGTTTTTGTTCCGTAATAATGGATCCAAACTTTACTCTAGATTAGTGAGTTCGAATAAGAACATTTCTGAAATCATGAACAAGGATAGTAAACTACTGTGTGTGTACGTGTGTTTCATAGTTAATAACTTTTGAATGAAATTTTATTACGATAACATTTTATTTTCTTCATTGTTCAGTACCATACGTTCGAGTCTTGCTGATTCATAATAGTAAACTTTTGAAGAAGAAGAAAACGAGCACTCGCCCAGGTACTACCTCTCCATCCTTCAATGAGTCTTTAACTTTCGATGTCCCATCTACTGAAATGGAGAATGTCGTTTTTATTGTTGTTGTCAGTCACCGCGATCCACAAAATGGCAGCTTATCCTCACCGGAGACTCCCACCAGTCCGTCGGGGTCCATGAAACGTGATCACCACGTGGGAAAAATTTTGATTGGCTCTTGTGCACGTGGCAGTGCTCAACACCATTGGAAAGCCATGAAGCAGTCACCAAGGAAACAAGTAACCCAATGGCACACGCTGCGATGAAGTGTTCCAAGCGGAATGTGAGCCGTATTCTTTCCATTATATGTTCCTATGTTAATCTAATGCTAAAGGTTGTGTATTGACTAATGTAGCGTGTTTGATGTATCCACAAACATTTCATAACTTGGACAATTCAAAATACATTACAAGATATCAAATTGCTATGTGAATTTCAAAACCGAAAGTATACCCATTAAATTCCACTTCTAGATGTTTCGAAGCTAAATTATAAATTCCGAGAACTTTTGTGATTGTAGTGTGTTTTGTCTTTCATAAGGTATGACGTTCTCGATAAAACTTTTGTGATTGTAGTGTGTTTTGTCTTTCATAAGGTATGAAGTTCTCGATAAAACTTTTGTGATTGTAGTGTGTTTTATCTTTCATACATCTTTAAACAGGTATGATCATGAACTTTGATCATTACTGCTGGAAGTCTTTAAACAGGTATGATCATGAACCATGGTCATTGCTGCTGGGACCGTCTTTAAACAGGTATGATCATGACCCATGGTCATTGCTGCTGGAACCGTCTTTAAACAGGTATGATCATGAACCATGGTCACTGCTGCTGGAACCATCTTTAAACTTATACGCTACTGTTATCAAGCTACATAGAATATTCTGTTTCAGCGTTTCGAATGATCAAAGTTTTGTACCGTCTTCAATACATTATATTTTCAACTATAAACAGTTTGTCAAAAGATAATGTCAGCACTACAACCCTTTCTACTATGTTTAAGATATGTTGTCTAAATGTTTTTCACCCTATAATCGCCTAAATAATAAAATAACAGTAAGTATAAAATCGTATTGAACGAAAAACAATTCTGACGACTTACTTTTTGTAATAGACTTCATTTAGTTAAAGAATTGAATTTAAAAATCACTCACGCTCTCAACTTTTTGACAGTTTTATGAAGAGCAGGCTGAAGTGGATCACAGTTTTCTTTAAATCACATAATTTACAGAGAGATTGGAAACGAAGGAGGAATGCTAAAACTAAAACTTTATAAAACATAAATTGATCATATCTAAACGTTTCTTAAAGGCCAGAATACATTAACAAATCAATTAAGAATTATTTTGTATAGATTTCAATTAGAATGTTATCTCTCTCTCTCACACACACACACAAATGTGTTTTCTCATTCATTTGTTGGTGAGAAAATTGACAAAACGTGGCTGAAATGTTGTCACGTAACTTTGATTACGCATTATAGCAACACTAATACCATCGTTGCCACGACTTACATACTAGCATTAAATACTCGCACTCTGATGCGGGGATTCAAAGGCCCCAAAGTACCGATGAAGCTCCTCGGATATCCTCAATTATTTATATAGCTACTTCAAGGGGGATCCATATCAGAAAACAAACCCTGATAAGACAATCGCTCATAGTATCTGAGCAAGTTTGCCAGGTTTGGCCTCGCTAATTTGTGGGTGGTGGAACGAACACAGTTTCAAACACGATGCCCCAGGGATCACGAAGGGGATCCACGAACACACAATTTGATAACACACTCTGGTTCAGTGACCCTGAAAATCTGCTCACTTTTGACCCCGTCATGTGTAGGTGGCCTTTTCCAGTCTTGTTTTAGCCCACTTGGTACCCTCTTGACAGAGAAGTTACGCCATAAAGATAAGAACACCCTCCGCCTACCACCCAAGTTCGTCTGCCAAGTTTACTTCCGCTAGTTGTAAAATTGTTTAATTAGTTTGCAAAAAACATATTCACAAAGAAACAATATGAATTAACATAGGATAAAGATACCTTTAGTTTCTTCAATTTTAATATTAGACTGTTAGCTAGCTTAATGATATATAGATTTGACTATTTTGCAAAAATACTACATACTTCCAAGCTATAATCGAGATTGTTTTTTTTCTTATATTGTTAGATTACTGTAGCTCTAAAATGTATAAATTGTGTCTTTTACTTTATATAATGATGTCGGCTTGTTACCAAACATAAGAAGTAATATATAACTTTTATACTTCCAATAATGTTGCATTACTTCCACGTTACTAAATGTATATATCGTAAGTTAATTAGTCATACAAGATTATCAGCCAAAATCATACATGAACTGTACTTTGATTAGAAATTTTGGATTGTTGCTGCTACATGTGATGTGTGGATTGTTCTTAATAATATTAGATTTTGACATGCTACATGATGTATAGACTGGATTTAATAATATTGTATTGTTGCCACACTACATGATGTATAGATTGCAATTGATAATATCGGATTGTTGCCACGCTACGTAATGTATAGATTGTACTTAATAATATTGTATTGTTGCCACGCTACGTAATGTATAGATTGCAATTAATGATATAGGATTGTTGCCATCGTATATGATGTATAGTATATACTTTCTTTGGTGATTTTCGATTGTTGTTGACCTTGGTATGGAATGGATTGTATTTTATTTCCAAATGTTGCATTGTTACCGCGCTAGTTGTTTATTTATTGATATCGGATTGTTGCCATGGTACATGATGTATACTTTGTAAGTTTTTAATAATGCTGGATTATTGTTACAATATTTCTTTTTCTTCTGTTCTGTAAGATTATTATTAATCATATGTAGTAACGATTTTACCATGTCAAAAGCAGCTCTTTCTTGACAATAGTGTTTATCACCAAAGTCAACAATGTAATTAGCTTATGGATATTGTATTTCAGAAATCAGATCACTACGGTGTATTTTAATTCTAACTCCCGTTTTCAGAATATTCGTAATGTATATATATATAACACCTCTATTTGTGGATGCGAATGTAATGCTTGTTTGATCTCTAATGTGAACTTAATTATTTAAATCAAATTCACTGGTTCAACAAAGAAAGGAGTATGCGATGTAACTCTATAACTTATGGTGAAAAGATGACTATGATGATGACAATTGTGATAAAGTCAACTGATTATCATCGTTGGTATCTTATCCTTTTGGTACAAGGTTGCGATATTTACTCGATATTTGTCAAACTTGTATTGATTTAATCTATTCATTAGGTCACGAGTTTCTGTATTAACACTAACTTAAATATATATGTTTACTCGGAAAGTGTGTAATGTATTTTACCTGTATGTGAACACCTTTTTTTATGTTATTATTTCAGTAGTTAGAATTCTTGAATTAATGAGTGAGAGGAATAATGTTTTTGCGAGAGAATATAATGGATTGCCTGTTATACATACACCTCGTAATTATGATAATAAATGTAAAATTGAATGTAGTAACACCTAATTATTGATATACTTTGTTATTGATCCTGGGGTATTACAGGAGTCATGCTACGACGGTAAATAAATAAAGGTTACGATTGACCAAAATGGTATAGTCGATGTTCTCAGTTTTTCATAAAATACGGTAATTTGTAATTCATTTGTCTATTACAGCGGGAGGATTCATTTTATTACTCCTAACAGTATTACATAAACACGGTTTTTGGATCTTTAACCATCATTAAGAGTGTGGTTATCTTCTGGTTACTCAGACATGAATGTTATGTCCATAGAAGTTTCACAGAAGTTCGTTTCATACGTGGATTGGAAACTTCCGTCGTAATATTTGAGACTGTAAAAAAAGGACTTGTTTGGGTCTCAGTTTTTTTTATGAAAACCTAGAACATAATAGAGATGTTTGATATAAACCTAGAACATAATATAAATGTTTGATATAAACCTAGAACATAATAGAAATGTTTGATATAAACCTAGAACATAATAGAAATGTTTGATATAAACCTAGAA